CTACACTGAAGCTGTAATCTTGGTCATCACTGAGTGCTGGTTGGAAATGATTTCTGGAATGGTTTGACTCCCAAATTACATCCAGGAGCTGTTTGGGAGAATGCTAGTTGGCACATGCACAAACATGGTTAGAACATTTTGTCATTCTTTATTCTGCTAGATGTCCACGTTACAAAGCCCAGGAATGATCCCTGGTGCAAGAGCAAAAATGACCAAGTTTACATGGAAGAAACAAGATCTACCTTTAAATATCTTATTTTGGCATTGATCTAAAAGATCTAGCTCAAAGTTTCCAGATATGTTCCATTTTTGGGAAACTACCTTCCCAACAACTGTAACTTAAAGAAAGGTATTGAAAGGTATTGTATTATTTCTATGGGGAGTTATATGGTTGTAAACGAAAACAAACAAATGAACAAAGAAAAATACTAGAATGTTGAAAGTGATTTGTGATGTTCCAGTTGTCTAAGATCATTGTCTTACACAGGCAGATTATAGCTGATCCTTTCTCTCATAAGAGAAACATGCAGCAATGTGGTGTAAGGAGTGACTTGCAGAAGTCCCTGCACATGGACAAGAAATTGGCTGACAACATTTTGTCTAAAGTGGCTGCGTTATAATTAAAGGAAATTCAAGGTGGTCATAGGTTTAATAAAATTATTACATCCAGAGAAAAAATGGCAAGCAAGAGAAGCGAAAAGTAACAAGGCTCATGATGAAATGCAACTTTACAAGAAGAAAGACTGGTGGCAGTGTGATGCATAAACTGTTTTAAGAGGAAGAATGCGGCCCTCAAAGTACCATTGAAATGAAGATTTGGTAAGTGCACATACTGAAATTTAATCCGACAACAAATACTGGAGGTTTATATTCTAAACATTAAAACAAATTAATCCCAGAGAGATGATTGCAGTTAGTGTGCATTTATTAATTTAACAATTTGTATCCTCATGACAAGAGAAACACCTGGGACTCGCTGCACAATGAAAAATTGGTTTATTGGAAATCTTAATGGCTACAAGCATTGAAACAGCTCAGGTCAAGCAGTGATAAATAATTTAAAGAAACCAGTGTGAGGTAGGTGTCACTTTAATTTTACATTAACAGATCTATTAGATATTAACCTTATCAGACAGGTAATTGCTAAATGAAATCATGCTTTTGTACCTTTGCTTCATAATATTATTTGCTGACTCATGCATTTTGTACAAACCTTGAAATTTGAACACTGATACTGTTTCACATGCCCATTGCTTCAGACTAGCAAATACTGCATTATCCTTTAAAATAAATTGTAAGTATGCCAATTTTTGTTTTTAGCAACTTGGAAAATATATTGAGTGCTACCTAGGAAATGACAAGAAGGGACACATTGTGTTGGAATTATAAACTAATTTTCTATGCACGTTTTTACTTGTCAGCATGTCTCTGGTAGAAATGACAGTAGAGCTGGTATGTAAATTTTAACAGGTGAAGGTATCCTGCCTGAAATTGTCATGAAGAATAGGTAATTTAAGAATTATTTTATTTGAATGCTTGGTGAACTCTGAGATACCTGCTGACAGCAGAGGATCTTGGAGAATTATTATCTTGGAAATAAAAGGATCTCAAGTCTTATGTGTAATTGTTTTATTTTTAAATAATAGAATCATAGAATGGCCTGGGTTGGATGGGACTTTAAAGATCACCTAGTTCCAACCCCCCTGGGCATGGCCAGAGACATCTTTCACTAGACCAGGTTGCTCAGAGCCACATCCAACCTGGCCTGGAACACTTCCAGAAATGGGGCATCTACAACTGGGCAACTTGTTCCAGTGCCTTACCACCATCACGGTAAATCCACAGAAAATCTACAGGAACTACATTCATTTTGTAAGAGTATATCAAAACTAGCTTGTAACTGACTTTGGATTTTTCTTGTAATTAAAGTCTCATTGGAGATTTATAGATGAGTGATATTTTAAAGGGGAAATGTTGGTATTGAACAGTGTTTGCAATTTTTAGGCGTTAATTTTGAATCCAGTTGTGTTCCAATTAAAATGACAGAAACATGACTGTTTCTAAAATGACCTGTATCATTGTTTCATTGGTGCTAATACAGCGGGGCCCTATGCAGTAATGTGGACCTCTATAAAGAGAATATAAACTACTACCAATGAAGACACTACATTCTCTGTGTAGGGATGCTTAGCCTCTGATGAGTATGATGAGACCCAGGTTCACTCGAGCCCCCCAGCTGCTATCCAAACTAGGGCCACGTTCAGTATAACTTAGGGTGTAACTGCACACCCTATGTGCAGTTGGGAAGACCTGGGTGGTGGCTGGATCTTCTCTGGGTTGTGGCTCTACACAAATCATGGTCCACAGACTGCCATTAAGGACATTAAAATTCATTAAGTAAAAGCCTGTCTTTGAGAGCTGCATAAACACATTGATTCATGTGGCACTGCAAGTACTTTTTGCTAGTTTCAGAGAAAGGAGAGCTTTTTAAAAATCAAATTTTTCATCTAAACCTCATTATAAATATTTTTACTTCTCTTGTATGTAATTTCCATTAATTTTTTTTGCCAGTCTTCATGAATCAGTAACTGTCTTGAGCAAGTTTAAACAAAAAAGAATTTAAAATTTAACTGAAATTCATTATTTCTGTGTTTTGCAACCTTAGCTTTGAGCTCCTTTTCATGGAGATGAAGGTACAGTGTCATCAATCTGAGAAAATCTTAAATTATAATAGCATTTCCGTATTTACTAAAAGCATGATGAGACATAATTCAACCTCAATCTTTTAGCAGTGTTTTATTTCAAATATGAATTTACCCCCATTGCTTGTTAGGTAATGAATAGGCTGAGGTGAGAACAAAATGCTACTGTATCTTACATGTATAAGTATTTAAATTCCTCTGGAACAGGCTTCCTGTCACCTAGTAAAAGGGAGAGGTTAAGAGGCAACCTCGCTAAGTCCACACTTGGGGGGCTCAGGGAGTCTGAAAACAAGTGAGCATGGTAGTGGTCAAAGCAGAGAAGAGAGTCTGGTATCTCTAAAGAAAAGAAAGGTGCTCTGCTGCTTGTGCTGGCAAAGAACACGGTAATTTTCCAAGGCAAAATTGCTGGTTTATACTTTGGTAAGAGTCAGTGGGTGCACACCTCTTGTTATTAGAGGAAGAAGACTGAAGAGGTTGGTTTGACACCAGACTTTGCATTCTTCTTCCAAAGGATGAAGGGATTGGGCTGCCAGTACTGTGGTGTGTGGCTGTACAAGGATGAATTTCACTAGGTAATACATGGCGTTCTTTGTACAAAATTTCACAGAAGATAGAAGTGCATCATCTCTTTTCATGTTTTGGCAAGACCCAAAAATATGCCACTCTCAGACTTTTACTGGTGTAATATTGTAACACTGCTGTGTGGCACTGGAAGTGTGCATGTGCCCTATTTGTTTGAAGGCTGGGTGGTGTAGGCTGTTGTTCTTGGGGACACCTTGCAACACTAAAGTTTTAGACAATTTTATGGTAATTTCTATTACTTCTGGCAAGCTTTAATGAGAGCAAATACTCCATTCCAAGAGTACAAGTATTCTTGCTTTTCATATAAAAATCTTTAGCTTAAAATACATTTGTCTATTTTTATAAGTTCTGAGATTAAATGGTCCCAGGGGAAGGCGCTGCTCTTCTGTTATTAGCCTTCCAGAGGTGAATTTGTCCTCAGAGTGAAGCAAGAAAGTTGCTTTAGCACTGTCAGATATCTAATTAATCCCTCAGTAAATAAGGCATTCTGTAATTAAATAACCGAGATGCGCAATCAGTTCTAACACAAAATGCTTTGCATATTAATATATTATAATCGAGGAGCCGTACGAGGCTTGGTTTTGGTTATGAAGTGGTTGTAATAGACTTTTAAAATTATGGAGAACTCATTGCAGGCAAAACATTGAGGGTTTTTTTGGCAAAACTCAGCTAAGTGGGACCTGCGAGCTAAAGATTTGAATAGACATTCAAAAAATTAGTTTTCAATAGGGAAAGCAGCACAGTTTCAAGCAGTGGATTGTTGTAAATATGCGAAAGGGATTGAAAAACGGACTTGTGAAATGTTAACAGAGCAGCTGCTGGGGAGCCAATATTAGTGCCTCGGGGAGATAAAAGTTTTCTCCAAAATCAGTTCAGCACTTGCGACTTCGTGCTCTGAAGACCGCAAGAACCAGAAGCAAGGGGGATCAGTTATAATCTGCAATGAATTAGTTAGCCTGTGGGGTGGTCCGACCTGCTTGTGTGAGCCACTCGGGGTTATAAACACAGGCTTGAAACCGCGAGCCGTACCAGACACCTTTTTCGCTGAGGAAGAACACACGGGACGCGAAAGGATTTAACAGAGCCTCGCTCACCTGGAAGGCCGCCGCGGTCCATCATTGGCTTGCTTTCGTTCGCCCCGGCGCCTCAATTGGCTGCCCCGCTCCCTCCAGCACTCACGCGCGCCGGCTTCCGGCCGGCACCTGACGGGCGCTGAAGAGTGCGACTTCCCACCCGCTCGCCGCACGCGCGCCGCGCTCATTGGCGGCGGGGTCCGGCGCTGCTTGCGCCCGCCCATTGGCCGTTGGGGCGGCCGGCTGTGCCCCGATTGGGCCCGGCGGGCGGGGCGGGGCGCGCCCGCGGGAAGGGCCGAGCGGTGTGGTTTGGGCCTGCGGCAGTTGCCGGCGGAGCGGGATCGGCTATCGGGAGCTGCTGCTTCCGCCGCTGCACGTCGCAGCGCGTCCCGGGGAACGGCGCTCGCGCCTTCGCGCCCCCCGCCCTCCCCCGCGGGGAGCGGGGCGCGGTGATGGCTGCCTCCGGGCGGGATGCGGCGCGCCGCGCTTGGGCTGAGTGGGGCGAGCCGCGCCACCGGCAAGGGACCATCTGCCGTCCGGGAGGAGCCGGGCGCCCCTCGGCTGCGGGATCCGAGGGGGCGGCCCGCCCCGGCAGCGCTTCGGCAGCGCCTGAGCCCACGTCGCGCCGTTCCCCGCGCCCGCCATGGAACGAGCGTCCAACAGGTGGCTTGCTGCGCCGCTGGCTTGGGCGCTGCTCTTCCTGCTCCTCGCTAACCAGTACGTGTCGCCCGCCTGCCCCCGGCGCCGCTGCCCCCGCCGCGCCCGGCGGCCTCGGCCGCCCGCCGCGGGGGGGCCGGCGGAGCGGGAGGAGGAAGGAGGAGGCGGCGGGCGCTGCCAGGCTTGGCGGCCCAGATTCCCGTTTCGCGAACGGGAGAGCTGCTGGTGCGGTTCGACATGCGGGGCCGCGACGTGATCGTCTTCCTCCACATCCAGAAGACGGGCGGCACCACCTTCGGGCGGCACCTGGTGCGCAACATCCACCTGGAACAGCCCTGTTACTGCCGGGCCGGGCAGAAGAAGTGCGCCTGCCACCGCCCGGGCGGCGACAAGGACACCTGGCTCTTCTCCCGCTTCTCCACCGGCTGGAGCTGCGGGCTGCACGCCGACTGGACCGAGCTCACCAGCTGCGTGCCCGCCGCCATGGAGCGCCGCGGATGCGCCGGTAACCGCACCCTCAGGTCAGTGTCTGATTTCCAGGTGCTCGAAATCGCATCCCGCCTTTCCAAGTGCCCTGGGAAGGTGCCCTGTCAGCGGGTCCCGCTCCCCGGCAGTCGGGCGAGAACTGTCCGCCGCCTTTGTCATTCAGAAGCAAACGGTGGGGAGACGAAGGCTTCTGTTTTGGCGGAGGTTCTAGTTCGGGGTTTGGGTTGTTGCCCTCTCTGTGTGTTACCTGTCGTGCTTTCGCTTCGCCTCAGATCTGTGCGGACTCCACGTAGCGCGCGTGCATCTGCCTGTGGTACAGATCAGCGAAAGAAAAACTCGTTTTCCTGCAAGTTTTTCCTATCTATTTGTCCTTTAGAAAGTTGTTTTAAACAAAACGCTACAGTCTTCTGCAGTAAGGAGAGTGCCTCTGCAGAGTCTGATAGATCTTTGCAGCTGCTGAATCATGTAACTAGGGTAGTTTGAAGTACCCAGAAGCCCTTAAATTCTTCTTTTCCTCGTGTTTCGTGTTGGTAGATAGGCTGGTTATCTGTTTCCCGCGGTGTACTGACCGCTCGCAGTACGGGCAAGCTCAAAGTAAGGAGACCATGTGTGCCAGGCTCTGTGCAGGGAACGCAGTCCTAGCAAAAATCTCACTGTTAGTTCCCTTCGATGATCTAAAGGCACTGAAAACCGGAATTTTGTGTGCATGCTACCTCTCTCCATATTATATTGTTTTTCCTGAGTCTTGTGAAAGGTCTTGTCTGTTTTAAACGTGGAAAAACTTCAGATGGGTGATTCTTCTATATAAGAGATAGCTCTAGGTGATTCAGTAAGTTTTGGTCTTTGTTCTGATTTATTTGCCATTCAGTCAGATTTTTCAGGCTATTATTAGATCCTGTCTTTATTTGTATGATAGATTTTGAACATGTGTATTAAGGAGTTATGAGCTGAATTTGCTCTTAAACCTCTGCACTTTAATAATTGTAACTTCAACATCTATAAAATATTTAGGAAAATATAGGAAAAATACCTTTTTAAAAAGTAAGAATGTACCTTATGTTCTTTCATTTTAGTATCCATCTCGATTTTACAAGTCCACGAACTTTAAATCTTCAGTAGAACAGCTCACACATTGTGTTTTGTATCTTGTAATTTAAATACATGTACAGTCCATGAAATACATGGACACATTTTCACAGGGCTTATTCATTGAGACAGATTATTGTTGTTGAAAAATTTGAAGATTATTTGATGTGACTATCAAAGGCCCTCCCATACCGCAAAGCTAGTCACATTTGGAAAGACTTCAGTCAGGGTAATTTGAATTTATTGTGGATGGTTGTGGACTTGGACTGTACTTGCATAATACTGTTAAGGTAATTCATACAATTTTACGGGAGACAAATTTAGCTGAAGATGTATGTGTTTGTGTGCTAATGGAAGAGAAATGCTGTGAATGCCTTTAAGGACAAAGTAACTTGTTGGTAGCTGTACGGCTTTAAGGAATATTCAGGAAACTTGTAATGTAAACCAGGGAGGGGGGGAGGAAGAGTAATGCTTGTAAAAATGCTTGAAAACACATAATCTGTAACTAAAGTCCACTTCTTTCTTGTGACAAATATTAGTAGATAAACAATTGAGTGCTGAATTTAGTTGCAAAGATTACACACGGGCACTAAAATCAGAGTAGTGGTTTCAATACTATTAAATAAAAACATGACTGTATTAAGTAAATTTAAAAGTTAGAGTTGAACTACACAGCAGGTCATACTAGTTATTCAGGGGATAATTAGTAATTAATTTGATTTAAGAAAGACACGTAGTGATGCTTCGCCACTATAGGTGAATAGTGTTCCCTTAATTTTTTTTGGTTAGTGTTTTTTGTTTAGTTTGTTTAGTTAGTGAATGATTTGGTTAGTGTAGCATTGCGCTTCTTGATTTCTCTTTACTTATGTGAGGAAAGTGCTCTGAATAATAATTTGTTTCATTGTTCTAATACTTGTTTATTCCTATAATATATCCTGTACTAGACAAACGCCTTTACAATTTCCCCTTTGTTTCCTCATTATGATCGTGCAGCTTGAATTCAGCTTTTCAAGGAGCTGTAAAAGGAATCAAATAGCCCTGAAGTATGGATTGTCTTTGCTGTGAATGTCTTTGCTTCTGGTGAAGTTGGAATCAAGCCCAAACTACTTTGCTGTACTATTAGAGGCATGCATCTAAGTCTTTTTTAAATGTCTGAATGGTGAATTGAGGAGACTGTATGCCTAAAATAGGCAAGAAACTGGCATATGAGTCTAACATAAAGCATACTGATTATTTTTAAGTCATTCTTTAAAGCTTCTGAATTTATTTGAGACATTACACTTCCTTGAATAGCTCAACTTTTCTCCTCTCCCTTCCAGCTATGGTGTCAGAAGAGTAGGCTACATTGGTTAAATACCCGAAAATGAATTTTATTTGTGGCTAATGGGACAAATAGTTTTATGAATTTGGTACCAATGTGTTTGATTTTTTTGTGCCATGTATTTCATGAAGTGAAGATGTTAAGTGTATTTTAGAACTTTTTTTGTTTCTCCACATAGGAAGTGTTAGTATATTCTGTTCTTTCAGATCTCTGTATATGTGGTCTGTCTTTTATTACATAGAGGGAATAGGAAATTTATAGTGTATGTGTCCTCATTCTGAAAATTTGTTTCTGAGGTGGCTAGTAATATTATAAGTTAGATTAATTCCTATCTTTTAACACAGGTCTTCAGAAGATTTCATGAGAAAGCTATAATTAGAATTCATGGAGGAAGGGGCTACCTGGTAGGGAAAGGAGGGAGTGGATAATGGTCCTAATGGTCCTGGAAGACATGTGAAGCATAACCTCTCCTCACCCTGGGTCTTTGTCTTTCATGGACAGTGTGTTTAAAGGTGTTTTACTTCTTAAATCTCATTAGGCTTTTGAAGAGAATTTGTCTTAGTTTTTCCTGTTGCTAATGTTGGAGTTTTGAAGTCTCAGGACCCAAATAGGAACTTGGGGCAGAAACTGCTGCTGTGCCTCAAAAATTTGAACTTCTCGAAGCCCATGTGCCGGCGTCGACTTTTTGTGTGACTTAATGGTATGGTGTGACCTGTCCCAGCTTAGGCACTTCAGTATGAAAAGCTGGCTGTTGTCAATGTATTGAATGCTATTGTCAAGTTGTAGAACTATCTTTTTTGTTTAAAAGCAAAGTAATTCTTTTGAATGACATTACTTCAAAAAATTACCAAACCAAACCAAAAACTGTAGACTTTACTTCTTCAAAAATTTGCATATGTTTTCATTTTCAGCATGTTAAATGTTCTGCTGAAATACCTACTTAAGTGTTTACAGGGCCAGGCTATTAGTTTTTCATACTAATGTGTAGCTTTCACTTTTATGAAAGTTGCTATCTGGATAGTGATGATATTGAGAAGGGTATGCAGCTGATGCAGTTTTAAATTAATTTTTTTTAGTGTAGTTTTTAAATCAACATTGCAAATATTTAATATTATCAAAGCAGTGGGACTTTTCCCATGTAGATGCAGTTACATCCATATGGAAGTTCTTGCATCAGGGCATAGTCCATCCCCTCCCTGCCCCTTGCCATTTAACAGAATGGCTGTTAGAGCAGAAAGTAACTTAGACTGGCATGGAATCCTTTTTGGTTTGGGGTTTTTTTTTCTCCCTATTTTTAAAAAACAGTCTATTGTGTATTTGCTTTGCCCTCCCCTCTCTGGAAGTCACTGAAGTTGGTGATTCTTGTGTTCAGCTCAACCTCCGGAACTTGTCTTTCCTTCAGCGGTGCCAAGAAGCTGAGACTGTGGAGCCTTAGCCAGCATTGCTTGAGGAAAGAAAGGGAACAGAAATGTTGTTAAGATGTCTAACCTGGTATACCAGGGAAGAGTTGGTGTCAATTCTGAGTGAGTGACATTAGGCTGCCTCTGTAGACAGTGGGGAGAAACAGAATTATGGAGGCAGTCCTTTGGAGGGTCTAAGACATGTCTGAGACCTGCTGAATTGTCTTCTAGAGGGGCAGTTCTTCCATTCACTGTCAGCAAGGAAAGACTAAAATTGTGAATTGGGACTTGATGTCTAAAACTAGATGAGAAGAGTTCCACATCTAATATTGCAGAGACATTGTCCAAAATGATTGTCTGCCTCTGTTAGGTTACCTGGTAAAACTTGGTGTGTGAGGTAGGGCTTGCTTTGCCTCTCTGATCTATGTATGAGGGATTGAGAGGAGTCCTGATCAAGGCACATTTTCTCCCTTGCTGATGTACCTGCAATATAATTAATAATTATTCATTATTATTTATTACAAGTTTGATTAAACTAGGAAGGCAATCTTTTAAACACTTGAAAGAACACTGCATTGAAAGTGTTGTCTAATTTTCTGATATGAAACAGTGAAATCACTTGAATTGTGTAAACCCCATAAGCTTTATTGTCAATGCAGTTTAGTCTTCAAAACTATTGATTTTCATTAATTTGCTTCCATTATATTCCCCATTTCCTCGTGTCTGTTTAACTTACTGTGTGCTCCATTATTCTGTGGAAGTGTAAATCAACAGTAAACCCATGAGTTACGGAATGAAGAGAGTTGAATAGAAACTGTCAGTAGAATTCCTTTTTCTTCTTATGCAGTCCTTTATTTGACTACTGAGTATTTTTAAACCTCTAGCAATAACAGAGCATAAGATGGACTCTAATCTTTGCAGCTGTGATAACTATGATCATCACAAAAATGTAAGAGTGCTAATTGAAAATTAGGATTAGGCTGAAGGTAGTGGGGAGAAGAGAATAAAATGTCATAAATGTTTAAACTGAAAAAAGCACAAATTCTCTACTTTACCTTAGTATCTTCTAATGAAATGAATGTTGGAGCCAGTAAACTCTATAGAATTTATTTTTATTAATATAAGGAACAACAAGGATTAAACAATTTCCTGTGGTCCTGCTACTGACTGTGGGGATTTTTTCTTCCTTAACTGTCTCCAGTGCTGGATGCTTTAAAAGAATAGTGGT